CTCGATCACATGTGTGTATGTGAGCAAGCTCGTGAGCACTCGACACTCTTACATAATTTTCACTTTGGCTTCGCATGCCTATGGGTTTTTTGATAATCTGTGTGTGGTCTGATAACAAAATTTCTTCAACGTTTCATATTCATCTGCTGATTTATACACCGTTGGACGTTGTCTAATATACGGTTATCAGGACGAATAGTAATGTGAAGTTTAGGAATCTATTGAATACTGTCCGCCACGGAACTGGTCAGTACACATCCATACATACATATATTCAGTTTCCTTAAATCTATATAAAGCAAGTTTCACAAAATTATCGTGAACTAATAGTTAACAACGCTTACTTTGGAAATTTAAATCATCATATTCTGTCTCAGTCAGTCAGTCAGATGCAACGTAGAACTTCGTACGTTAGTAAATCAGTTCATGTTGCCATAACACATCAGCACACAGAGATGTAATTGTCAATTCAAATCCAATAGTAGAAGAGGTAGTAAAGGTATTGGAAGTAATTGGAGAGGTAAGGATTAGAAGATATTATTCAAGAAGTATGATACAGTAGTGAGATAAGTTTAGAAAGTCAATACTAGAAGGGGTTGAAGAATCCAGAAGATTAGGATTTGAGAGAACACAAAGAATAAATGCACCTGCGCCATTGCGAACGATTTTGAGCCATGTCATTCAAGGTCTCTAACCATCGATTATTATCATCTCGCGGACTCCAACTAGGTAGTCGACAACTACCGACATGGCTCAGTCCACTTGTCAATGACTTCATGGATTTGTGCCATGTTTTGGTCTGGCCGCCCCTAACTTTCTTCCAACCTATTCGTACACTACAAAACAAAGCTCGACGAGGCAGTCGGTGGTTAGGTATACGCAACACATGTCCCAACCACCTCAACTGATGGAGTTTCGTTACTTCTATTGATCTGTCATTCTTACCCAGCACCCGATTCCTAATAACAGCGTTGCTCACTCGGGTGTCCCAGGATATACGAGTAATGCTTCGAAGACATCTATGATCGAAAACCAGTAACCTGCGAATATCTTCTACTCTCACTGCCCATGTTTCACAGCCATAAAGTAAGACGGAGCGAACTACTACACAGTACACTCGTCCTTTAGTCAGCAAACGGATATCACGCCTACGCCATAAGTGACGCATGTTGGCTAAAGCCAATCTAGCCTTTTGTATCCGTGCTGAGATTTCGTCAGTCATTAGGCCATCGGCACTGATGAGACTCCCCAGATAAGTGAAGTGGTCTACACGTTCGACTACTTCACTGCCTATCGCTACATACCCTTTATCATAAAGATAAATTTATCATTAGTATGTATATCTTTAAAATTCACGCACCGTATCTGTACTACATAGTATAGGGGGGTATATATTGAAAGTCGCTGAGTTGTTGTACTATCTGTCATAAATAGTACTGTGGTAATTCAGTTCGTGTACAATTTCATTATTTTACATTACATTTTGTTAGAAGTTGAAGACAGTTCTGTTGTATAGAATGGAAACTTTAAGATCTACGAAAACCATCATCTAAAAGATACAAGTATTTACAAACAGTTTCTACCCTAGATATCTGTTGGTTGGGCACTAATAAGCAACCATTTACTGTGAACTGAGAACAAACCAACTTCCCACTGTAGATGAAGTTAGGATGAAAACACCGAGGATAGACAGGATACACATTGTATCATAAGCCAACTCACTTACTTACTTACTTACTCCTGTTACTCCCAATGGTGCATTGGCCACCGACCAGTTTTCTCCAACCAACTCTGTTCTGGGCTGCCCTTTCCAGTTCTTTCCAATTTTCGTTCATTCTTCTCATATCTTTCTCTATTTCTCAGCGTAATGTGTTCCTTGGTTTTGCTCTTTTCCTACGAACTTGATGGTTCCATGTGAGGGCTTGTCTCGTGACGCAGTTAGGTGCTTTTCGTAGTGTGTGTCCTATCCACTTCCACCGCTTCTTCTTGATTTCCTCCTCCACTGGAATCTGGTTTGTTCTTTCCCACAGTAGGTTGTTGCTGATGATGTCTGGCCAACGAATCCGAAGTATTTTGCTTAGAAAACTGTTAATAGACACTTGTATCTTCTGGATGATAATCATAAGCCAAGCCGTAACTTGAATTCCTCATGATAAAAGAAGAAGATGAATATCAAAGAAGACACATGAATTAAAGGTGGATATCAAAAGAATAAACTGCACTTAGGAGTAACTTGAAAAGTGAGCTCAAGACCAAAGGTTAGAGATTGCTGGTGAGCAACCTATACTCGACGAAGAGCAATAGACGTAATTGATTGGTTGAGTCGATTGTAACTAGTTCAAATCGTTTCGAAACTTCTGTCGTTAACGTGGTATCAGTAATTGAATCTACTAAAAGTGTTATTATAACTGCAACAATTGTAATTTCTTTATGTGAATTAAATTTTTTGTTCTATCCGTCCGTTTTGGATGACACAGGTACATTCATACTACTTGCCTTTTCTTAGATCTTTAAGTTTTAGAAATCCTCCCACAATATTTTTATTTTACTGATTTATATTTTCTCGAATCTTATCCTCATTGCCTAATCTTGTCTAGTATCATTTATACTGTCACGATCTCTACTACTCTTAAATTCATCCTGATAGTTTCATCCCACAGCGCTAATGGAGTATTTCAAAATGAACCAATGTACACATGTGCTACATTTTGTCTTGCATTTAATTAACTTACTGTGCTGGTGTTTCGTTCTCTCTGAGCTGGATGTTTTGGTTGTGGTACTTTCAGATAGATAGAAGTGAAGTATTCGAATTTCTCCACGTTTTGACCCATTGGTGGTTGCTCTGCTAACCTCCCATTTTGATTGGTTGAACAATAATGAAAAACTCCACAACCACAAGATATCCAGCTCAGAGAACGAAACACCAGCATAATCATTCGCCTGAGCTACAAATTTTCTCTTCAATGTTTCAAAATTAACTTACTGTTTCACTCTTTTGGATTTTGGTCTCTTTTTTTTTCTCTGTACAATTTTCATTCTTCTGACATTGATTTTTTTTTCTATTTTATTTACAGCAATCGATTTGCTTGATCATTTATTAACATTTAATCCAACTACACGTATCACTGTTGAAGAAGCCTTAGCTCATCCATATTTTGAACATTATTATGATCCAAGTGATGAGGTAAGAAGGAGTGTGTTAATATATGTTGAAAATATGATATTTTTAAAAATTTAAACTTTGTCTGTATGGATAGTCTATAAAAGTATCATTTTTTTCGTTTAACCTACGTGGCCTCTTCGAGTTAAAGATTTCTGTGTTTAATCATTGTTACCTCCGAAGGATTGTTGACCTTTCAGTGGCCGGCAACACTTCCGCGAGACGAAAGTAACCAATTGTCAGGAGATCTTGAATGTGATATGGCTTAAAATCATTTGCAATGACGCAGGTGCATTCACTCGTTGTGCTCTGTCAAATTCTAATCTTCTAAATTCCTCATCAGCTTTATCTTTTACTCTTTTTAAATTTATTTCACTGGATTATATATACACTTGGTGAATGTTACACCTGACAAGGGAACACGTTCATTTTGATTTGCTTGAACTATTACTAGTTTACCTAGTTGGAAAACGAGAATAAGGATCGAGGATCCGGTGACACGACATGCTACTCTAATCCGATTGTCCCAACTCCCATATTTAGTTAAAATAAGAAGACTTGAATGTGAAGTAGAACCTGTATTCTACAAGCATCCAGAAAGTACGAGGTCCGAGTCCAGAAGAGAATCATGATCCCGTACTAAGGATCCGGGACCGAGCCCTGATCCTGGGTCGTGGTCATAAAACGTTACAGATAATACGTAACTTATACATTTTGGTCGAATAGGAAACGGCATCGAAGTCTGTGGCATTGACAGTTAAGACGACCAATAGGAAGCAACATTTGAAGTGACATTGATAGTCAAGACAACCAATAAGGAACAACATTGGAGCACGTGACATTGATATCTACGACAACCATAAAATTGACCAGTAGGAATTAACTAATAGGAATTGACCAATAAGAATTCTCTTAGGATATTGGATGAATATCCTAACAGTGAACTATATATCTTCGAACCCTAATCTCTCGGACTATTGCTAATACTTCTACTACCTCTACTACTGTGGTGCGAGCTACTCATAAGTAGTATATGACGCCAGTAAAAACGTAATGTCTGGCAGCAGAAGATGGGGGAAGATCAAGAAAGGAAGAGTGGGAACACAATGGAATTTGTATGAACGCATGAATAGTGACAATGGATTGATGTTTTGCAACAGGAACAGTCCAGTTCGATATGATGAACTGATATTTTGCAAATGAACGATTTACGAAATGGTTTTCCTATTTTACTGAGTAACTGTAATTTGTGATAAATACAATTCGATTGTCCTCACCTGTGTTCTCGTTCACTACACTACTAGTATGAGATTTGAATTGACACTTCGATGCTTCTGTGCTAATGTGCCATGGCTACCTGAACTGATGTACGTAGGTACGAAGTTCCACGTTGTAGCTGACTGGCCTGACTGATGTCTGTTATGTGCATCACTCATGCACTAAACGAATAGAGAAATTCTACGCACTAATTCTTATGAAACATCGCTACTTGCGGATTCGTGCATAGCCACTGAGGATAAGTCCATTACTAGGACAAGTTGTCCATTCAGTGCTTTCAGGTTTCCAACTCTGATCCGACATTGATCAATTCATGATTTAAATATAAATCTGTTTATTTTTTAAAAATCTAACTAACTTCTATTTATAGTAACATGTATTTTCTGTCTTATTTAATTTCAGCCTGTTGCTAAAAAACCTTTTAGTTTTGAAGAAGAATTAGACAATTTACCAGTTAGACAATTGAAAAAAATGATATTTCAAGAAGTCAGTCAATTTCGTGAACCAGATTGAAAACAAAACAGTTTCTCTATTATACCATTCATTCATTATTCACGCCCTAGTATATATCTGATATAGATAGGCGTGAATAATGAATGAATGGTATAATAGAGAAACTGTTTTGTTTTCAATCTGGTTCACGAAATTGACTGACTTCTTGAAATATCATTTTTTTCAATTGTCTAACTGGTAAATTGTCTAATTCTTCTTCAAAACTAAAAGGTTTTTTAGCAACAGGCTGAAATTAAATAAGACAGAAAATATACATGTTACTATAAATAGAAGTTAGTTAGATTTTTAAAAAATAAACAGATTTATATTTAAATCATGAATCGATCAATGTCGGATCAGAGTTGGAAACCTGAAAGCGCCGGACGGACAACTCGTTCTGGTAACGGACTTATCCTCAGTGGGTATCCACGAATCAGCGAACAGTGATGTTTCATAAGAATTAATGCGTAGAATTTCTCCATTGGTTTAGAGCATGATTGATGCACATAACAGCATCAATCAAGGCAGTCAGCTACAACGTGGAACTTCGTACCTACATACATCAGTTCAGGTTGCCATGACACATTAGCACAGAAGGATCAAATTGTCAATTCAAATCTCATACTAGTAGTGTAGTGAACGAGAACACAGGTGGAGCAACCGAATTGTATTTAACGAAAATTATAGAGTTACTCAGTAAAATAGGAAAACTATATCGTAAATCGTTAATTTGCAAAATATCAGTTCATCATATCGAACTGGACTGTTCCTGTTGCAAAACATCAATCCATTGTCACTATTCATGCGTTTCATACAAATTCCATTGTGTTCCCACTCTTCCTTTCTTGATCTTCCCCCATCTTCTGCTGCCAGACAGTACGTTGACACTCACGTCATATACTACTTATGAGTAGCTCGCACCACAGTAGTAGAGGTAGTAGAATTATTAGCAATAGTCCGAGAGATTAGGGTTCGAAGATATATACTTCACTGTTAGGATATTCATCCAATATCTTAAGAGAATTATTGGTCTATTCCTATTGGTTAATTCCTACTGGTCAATTTTATGGTCGTCCTAGATATCAATGCCACGTGCTCCAATGTTGTTCCTTATTGGTTGTCTTGACTATCAATGTCACTTCAAATGTTGCTTCCTATTGGTCGTCTTAACTGTCAATGCCACAGACTTCGATGCCGTTTCCTATTCGACCAAAATGTATAAGTACGTATTATCTGTAACGTTTTATGACCACGACCAGGATCAGGGCTCGGTCCCGGATCCTTAGTACGGGATCATGATTCTCTTCTGGACTCGGACCTCGTACTTTCTGGATGCTTGTAGAATACAGGTTCTACTTCACATTCAAGTCTTCTTATTTTAACTAAATATGGGAGTTGGGACAATCGGATTAGAGTAGCATGTCGTGTCACCGGATCCTCGATCCTTATTCTCGTTTTCCAACTAGGTAAACTAGTAATAGTTCAAGCATATCAAAATGACGTGTTCCCTTGCAGGTGTAACATTCACCAGGTGTATATATAATCCAGTGAAATAAATTTAAAAAGAGTAAAACATAAAGCTGATGAGGAATTTAGAAGATTAGAATTTGACAGAACACAACGAGTGAATGCACCTGCGTCATTGCAAATGATTTTAAGCCATATCACATTCAAGGTCTCCTGATCATCGGTTACTTTCATCTTGCGAAAGTGTTGCCAGCCACTGAAAGGTCAACAATCCTTCGGAAGTAACGATGATTAAACACAGAAACCTTGAACTCGAAGAGGTTACGTAAGTTAAACGAAAAAAATGATACTTTTATAGACTATCCATACAGACAAAGTTTAAATTTTTAAAAATATCATATTTTCAACATATATTAACACACTCCTCCTTACCTCATCACTTGGATCATAATAATGTTCAAAATATGGATGAGCTAAGGCTTCTTCAACAGTGATACGTGTAGTTGGATTAAATGTTAATAAATGATCAAGCAAATCGATTGCTGTAAATAAAAATTAAAAAAAAATCAATGTCAGAAGAATGAAGATTGTACAAAAAATGGACGAAGATCCAAAGGGTGAAACAGTAAGTTAATTTTGAAACATTGAAGAGAAAATTTGTAGCTCAGGCGAATGATTATGCTGGTGTTTCGTTCTCTGAGCTGGATATCTTGTGGTTGTGGAGTTTTTCATTATTGTTCAACCAATCAAAATGGGAGGTTAGCAGAGCAACCACCAATGGGTCAAAACGTGGAGAAATTCGAATACTTCACTTCTATCTATCTGAAAGTACCACAACCAAAACATCCAGCTCAGAGAGAACGAAACACCAGCACAGTAAGTTAATTAAATGCAAGGCAGAATGTGGCACATGTGTACATTGGCTCATTTTGAAATACTCCATTAGCGTTGTGGGATGAAACTATCAGGACGAATTCCAGAGTAGTAGAGATTGTGACAGTATAAATGATCGAAGAAAAGGTTAGGCAATGAAGATACGATTCGAGGAAATATAAATCAGTAAAATAAAAATATTATATGAGGATTTCTAAAACTTAAAGATCTAAGAAAAGGCAAGTAGTATGAATGTACCTGTGTCATCCAAAACGGACGGATAGAACAAAAAATTTAATTCACAGAAAGAAATTATAATTGTTGCAATTTTAATGTCATTATTCAAGCCAATAACACTTTTAGTAGATTCAATGACTGATACCACGTTAACGAGAGAAGTTTCGAAACCATTTGAACTAGTTACAATCGACTCAACTAATCAATTAAGTCTGTTGCTCCTCGTCGAGCATACGATACTCACTAGCAATCTCTGACCTTTGGTCGTCTTGAGCTCACTTTTCAAGTTATTCCTAAGTGCAGTTTATTCTTTTGATATCATCCACCTTTAATTCATGTGTTTTCTTTGATATTCATCTTCTTCTTTTATCATGAGGAATTCAAGTTACGGCTTGGCTTATGATTATCATCCAGAAGATACAAGTGTCTATTAACAGTTTTCTAAGCAAAATACTTCGGATTCGTTGGCCAGACACCATCAGCAACAACCTACTGTGGGAAAGAACAAACCAGATTCCTTCAGTGGAGGAGGAAATCAGGAAAAAGCGGTGGAAGTGGATAGGACACACACTACGAAAAGCACCTAACTGCGTCACGAGACAAGCCCTCACATGGAACCATCAAGTTCGTAGGAAAAGAGCAAAACCAAGGAACACATTACGCTGAGAAATAGAGAAAGATATGAGAAGAATGAACAAAAACTGGATAGAACTGGAAAGGGCAACCCAGGACAGAGTTGGTTGGAGAATACTGGTCGGCGGCCTATGCTCCATTGGGGGTAACAGGCGTAAGTAAGTAAGTGAGTTGGCTTATGATGCAATGTGTGCCTTGCCTATCCTCGGTGTTTTCTTCCCTAACTTCATCTACCAGTCGGAAGTTGGTTTGTTCTCAGTTCACAGTAAATGGTTGCTTATTAGTGCCCAACCAACAGATATCTAGGGTAGAAACTGTTTGTAAATACTTGTATCTTTTAGATGATGGTTTTCGTAGATCTTCCAGTTTCCGCTACATACAGTAGAACTGTCTTCAACTTCTAATGTAAAATAATGGAATTGTACACGATCTGAATTACCACAGTATTATTTATGATAGATTGTACAACAACTCAGCAACTTTCAATATATATACCCCCCTATACTATGTAGTACAGATACTGTGTGTGAATTTTAAAGATTTGCCAGCTAATGATAAATTTATCTTTATGATAAAGGGTATGTAGCGATAGGCAGTGAAGTAGTCGAACGTGTAGACCACTTCACTTATCTGGGGAGTCTCATCAGTGCCGATGGCCTAATGACTGACGAAATCTCAGCACGGATACAAAAGGCTAGATTGGCTTTAGCCAACATGCGTCACTTATGACGTAGGCGAGATATCCGTTTGCTGACTAAAGGACGAGTGTACTGTGGTGTAGTTCACTCTGTCCCGCTTTATGGTTGTGATGCATGGCAGTGTGAGTAGAAGATATTCGTAGGTTACTGGTTTTCGATCATAGATGTCTTCGAAGCATTACTCGTATATCCTGGGACACCCGAGTGAGCAACGCTGTTATTAGGAATCGGGTGCTGGGTAAGAATGACAGATCAATATAAGTAACGAAACTTCATCAGTTGAGATTGTTGGGACATGTGTTGCGTATACCTAACCACCGACTGCCTCGAAGAGCTTTATTTTGTACCGCAGGAATAGGTTGGAAGAAAGTTAGGGGCGGCCAAACCAAAACATGGCAGAAATCCATGAATTCATTGACGAGTGGAATGAGTCATGTCGGTAATTGTCGACTATCTAGTTGAGGTCCGCGAGATGATAATTATCGATGGTTAGAGACCTTGAATTACATGGCTCAAAATCGTTCGCAATTGCGCCAGTGCATTTATTCTTTGTGTTCTCTTAAATAATAATCTTCTGCATTCTTCAACCCCTTCTAGTATTGACTTTCTAAACTTATCTCACTACTGTATCATACTTCTTGAATAATATCTTCTCATCCTAACCTCTCCGATTACTTCTAATACCTTAACTACCTCTTCTACTATTGGATTTGAGTTGACAATTACATCTCTGTGCAAATGTGGTATGGCGACGTGAACTGATGTACTTACGTACGAAGTTCTACGTTGCATCTGACAGAATGACTGAGACAGAATATGATGATTTAAATTTCCAACGTAAGTATGATTAATTATTAGTTCACGATAATTTTGTGAAACTTGCTTGATATAGATTTAAGGAAACTGAATATGTGTATGTATGGATGTGTACTGACCAGTTCCGTAGCGGACAGTATTCAATAGATTCCTAAACTTCACATAACTATTCATCCTGATAACCGTATATTAGACAACGTCCAACGGTGTATATATCAGCAGATGAATATGAAACGTTATCAGACCACACACAGATTATAAAACCCATAGGCATGCGAAGTGAAAGTGAAAATTATGTAAGAATGTCGAGTGCTCACGAGCTTGCTCACATACACACATGTGATCGAGGAATGATATGTGACTCAATACACATAAATCACAAGGATAATGCATGGGAAAAAAATGAGGAGAATAAGATTTCTTGACTGTAATGTTATGAGTACAAGTAATTAATAACATGTGATATATATACATGTGTAATACACCTGGGTAAGTACAATATTCAAAATCAATACAACAACCCTTGAAATGGTGGAGAAAATTTGCAGCTCAAATGGATAAATGTGGTGGAGTTTCGTTCTCTGAGTGGTTCTGAGAACGAAACTCCATCACAATCGATACATCCCTACGTCACTAATGCTTACTTCGATTCAAGAAATAATCTAAATGAGCTTAAGATGTGAGTATATCTCACTCCAAAAGTAAGATTATGAGAAGGTTGAGTCGTTGTTACTAGCGAGTTCGTGAATTAACCTCTTTACTTGTAGATACTTAATAATTTGAACTGTATCATAAAATAACCTTGTACCTAAATCATGGTAAGTAGACCTAACTGATCTATTATAGTAATTATTCCATTCGTTGTACTGCACTGTGCTCTCTGTTTCCTTTTTATTTTCTCTAGTTGTAAATGATGATAACCAATCTGTTATGGCACTGGAAATGACTTTTTAATACACAGTTTATAAAGCTACACGATGTCCAGTCAAATGTGTAAAAACATAAACCTCCAAAACTCTAACTGAAAATATTGTAACAGTGAGGGAATTCTCGGAGTTCTAGTTGAGAAGACGTGACAAATGGAGTTCAACCCTGTCGGGTGTAGGCAGTAACTACCAAAGACAAATGGGTGAAGTTGCGCGAAATTCCCTAGATCAATCAGAGTTAGACATTAACACCGTTGTATGCCAGACCAGGGTTCCAAAGGTTAGGCGTTCGAGCACAATACCGAAGGTCACAGGTTCGACTCCTGTGAGGTGCAGTAGTCGTGGATGCGCACTGCTGACGAGTCCCGTATCACGACAAAACGGCTGTCTAGTGCTCCCAGGTTTCTAATGGTTGTCTAAAAATAAATGATTGATGATTTCAAATGTGTAAAAGTCTGCCTGAAAACTGTTAGTTGCTGACTAACACTATGCATTACTGTAATAGTCAGTCAGTTGGTCACAACATAGAAGTTCGTATGTGTGTACATCAGCCCAACATGCCGAACCATACTGGCACAGAGACACAATTGTCGATTCAAATCCCATAGTAGTAGAGGAAGTAGAAGTATTATCAGTAATCGGGGAGATTACAATTCGAGGACATTATTCAAGAAGTAGAATGTAGTGAAATAAACTTAAAAAGAAAGATAAAGGTGATGGGGAAAACCGAGGTTAGGATTTAAGAGAACACAAAGAATGGGTGCACCTGAGCCATGTCTAACAATTCTGAGCCATGTCATTCAATCAGTCAGTCAGTCAGATGCAACGTAGAACTTCCCACGTACATTAGTAAATCAGTCCATGTCGCCATACCACATCAGCACAGAGATGTAATTGTCAATTCAAATCCAATAGTAGAAGAGGGAGTAAAGGTATTAGAAGTAATTGGAGAGGTTAGGATTAGAAGATATTATTCAAGAAGTATGATTCAATGAGAAAAGTTTAGAAAGTCAAAACTAGAGGTGTTGAAGAATCCAGAAGATTAGGATTTGAGAGAACACAGAGAATAAATGCACCGGCGCCATTGCGAACGGTTTTCAGCCATGTCATTCAAGGTCTATAACCATCGATTATTATCATCTCGCGGTCTACACGTTCGACTACTTCACTACCTATCACTAGTTCAGAGGCCGATGCAAACCGATCTTGAAGCAACATTTTGCATTTCGAGGCTGAGAACCGCATCCCGACATTGTTGCTTAGGGTAGTCAGAAGACTCTGCACTTTGTCAGCGTCTTCACCAAGTAGGACTATGTCATCAGCATATTCTAAGTCAATAAGCGAGCCACCTGGTCATTCAAGGTCTCTAACCATTGATTACTATTGGTTCGCGGACCCTAACTAGATAGTCTACATCTACCAACATGGCTCAGTCCATTTGTCAGTGACTTCATGGATTTGCGCCATGTTTCAGTTTGGCCACTTCTAGCTTTCTTCCAACATACCCCTACACCAAGCATCATCGCTCGCCGAGGCAGTCGATGGTTGGGCATTCGTAACACCTATCCGAGTCACCTCAACTGATGGAGGTTCAATACTTCATCTAGTGATTTGCCATCAATACCTAGTACTCGTTTCATAATTATCACACTTCAGATGATTATAACCAATCTGTTGTGGCACCGGAAACGACGTTTTAATACACCGTTCATACAGCAATAGGATGTCCAATCAAAAAGAAACCGGTAGTTGCTAAGTGACGGCCTTGTATTATTGTAATACATGGGAAAAATGTGCTTCCTAAACAATTTTTTAAAGAGAGCACTTTCAACATTATAACATGATACATTTATCTTCTACATTAAACGTTTCTATCTATATCAAGCTGTAAGTATTATTTTCAGCATACAGTCAGTCAGTTGCAACGCAGAACTTCGTACGTACCTACGCACATCAGTTCATGTTGCCATACCATATTAGCAAAGAGACGCAAATGTCAAATCAAATCCCATAGTAATAAAGATAGTAGAGGTATTAATGGTAATGAAGAAGACTAGGGTTTGAAGATATTATTTAAGAAGTATAATTCAGTGAGATAAGGTTAGAAAGGCAAAGGTAGAGGTGCTGACGATTCCAGAAGATTAGGATTTGAGAGAGCTCAGCAATAGATGCTACTTGCGCCCATGCAAACGATTCTGGCCATGTCGTTTTGAGGTCTCTAACCATTGGTTGACTTCCGTCTCGCAGACCCAACCAGGTAGTCTACATCTACAACATGACTCAGAGTCCACCTTTCAGTGACTTCATTGAATTTCTGTCATGTTTTGGTCTGGCAGCCCCTAGCTTTCTTGCAACCTACTCCTTCACCACAAAGCAAAGCTCGTCGAGGCAGTCGGTGGTTAGGCATACGTAATACATGTCCCTACCACCTCAACTGATGAAGTTTCACCACTTCATCTATTGATCTGCCATCCTTACCTAGCGCCCGTTTCTTAACGACAGCATTGCTC